TTTATTTCTATTAAAAACTAGATCTGATGCTATAAAGAAGGTGTCCCTAATAGCTCATCCAAAACACTTAGAGGAATTGTATTTTGATGAAATAATAATTAATAATGAAATAAAAAGGTATCCATCATAGCTGAACAAGCAAAATTTGTCTTTATTTTAAGAAACCTCTGAAAATATTCTCATTTTTACATCATGTTCATAATAATAATGTGAATTTGATAAATTACATCAAGAACAGAGTATTGAAAATGAAATGATTCAAATGCAAATTATCAAAGGTATGTGTAACACTTCTCACAGATAAATATTAAAACAATTACAATTAGGACATATCACTTGATGCATGTATAAATTTTATACAACAGCAAGAATTAATAACACATTTTCATAATATAAATATTTCAAATGAAATCAAACTGAAACCTGCTAATACTTATCAACAGAACAAAATTTAAAAAAATATTAAATGCAAATTCTGTAGATATGAATATATGGTTTTTGAAGGAATATGTCCTGCATTTGGAAAGGTAGATGGTAAATATAACAAAGATAATTTTCAATCAGATGATAAATTTAAAAAATAACTGCCAACTATGTTCAACAACAAAATTTAAGTTCTGATATGAAAACCGATGCATTTGCAGTGCAAGACACAGGAAAAACACATTAATTAGAATGAAATTGATAATACTGATTTAGCTATTAAAGTAAATATGTGTAGCAATGTTACATTAATTTCCAAGAACTTTTGGATATGTATTGGTCAACTTATATTCTTCAACAGCAATCTACAACATTGATAGTTTGAACTTTTTATTAAAACATGATCTGGTTTTAAAGGTATTCTGGATACAAACATAAGATATAAAATGATATCAAAAGTATTTGCCAATTGTGGAAAAACTCATGGTCTTATTGGAATTTATGTATTAAATATTAATAGTAAAAAAACAATTATATTGTATCTGATATCGAAGATACAAGTATGCTAAAAAATTATACAGCCAGGATAAAATTGAACAAAAATAAACAACCTTCATATTTCAAACTTTAAACTGCTCATTCATATTTTTCTATTAGTAATAATTAAATTATGAAAAATGATCAATCAATGCAAATTAACACATTCTACCAGTAAGTATCAAATGGAAATTGCTTATTATAGTATTACATAAACCAGATGAATATTTAGTTACTTTTAGTGAGGACAAGGTAGGTCTTACTCATAAAATTTGTTCAGATTCTCCTTCAACTCCCAATATTGAATTTATACCATTTGACCTAAAAAGTATATATCACCAAATTCATGATGATTTCAAAGAAATCTATTGGAATGATAAGGACATAAAAACTTCAAGTGCCATTTTTCAGTGTGCCCTAGAAAAAATTTTAAGAAATATTATAGAAAATATAATAATTTATGATATATTTTTAGGTGTAACTACCAAGAAAAAAAATGAACATAAGACAAAATTCTATTAAAGCAACTGATAATGAAATGATTGTTAATCCAAATACATCTATATTTAACAATGATAAAAATATTTGATTTTGATTTCTCTGCTCACCAATAAAAAATAAATTCATAGAATAGCGACCTAGTAATGTATTTATCAAGGAATTTAACCAATGCCAAAAATGATACTTCTAATATTGAGAAGTAAGCTTGAGTAATTGAACCACAAAATAGGCCTATAATTTTTTTTTCATTTTTGCTAAGTAGAAAATTTATACTGAAGTCTGATCACAGACTTTCCAATTTATTTTTAACCCTTGTAATTAACTACCAAAATTTACAGCTTTTCAGATATTGAGACAAACCATCTAATACATTTTATTTGATTTCTTATTGTATATGTCAAAGGAAATTCAATTCCCCATGCTGATGCACATTCAAGATTACCATTTCTGTTGAAGCAGAGAGAAAATATTTCAAGTGATATAAATAAATATATAGCTATAATTAAGTTTATATGTTGTGTTGGAGCTGATATATTACCTATGTGTTATAGACAAGCGTATGGTTGCAAGAAAGAAATATGACAACAGCAGAAATAGATTTACTTGATTTGTTTCAATAGGAATGTGTGGGTTTGGGACAGCTACTTTGTGGTATAGTTCATAAGCCGGCTCCCGGTCTGGGTTGATCTCTCATAGTAGTTCACACTGGTTGGTGTGGCGCTCCTCCTGCTGACTGCTGCTGACTGACCGTGACAGGTCTCTTCCTGTTGACTGCTGTTGTACTTCCCCGTGTGACCCCTTTTATGGCATTTTTTATGGCTTAACAGGCTTGTAAAACGATGCGAGTATAATTAGGAGGGAAGCATTTTTATTGGTTGAAAAATAGAAACACTTTAAAATATTATTTTATTTTTCAACCAGAACTCGTGTGTCAGGCCTCTGCATAAACGACGATAATGGTCATTTTGTGACGGGGCCTTGTCCCATTCACATCCGGCTCTCACTCTTGAGTATGTTAGTTTATTTGCCTGCAAATCAGCCGAGATATGTCTTATTTTATTTTATAACATATGGATTGCTTAACTTTGGATATATTGCATGATCAAATAGTATGGAAAATTATTTTTCAACAAGAAAAGGCTTGGTGTAATTTTTTTTAAAGACCTTCTAAGGAGATTAAACACAAGTTAACAATAGAAAATGGTATCATTTGCAAGGTGATCTCATTATTTTATTTAGTAAATAAATTAAAAAAAATGTTCATGATTATATCCCTTGTAGCATTATTGCTACATATAATAGTCTAAAACTTGAAGCATGGTGGCCTTGATATTCACATATCATAGAGGGCTCTATATACCTAAATGTATAAACTAAACATTTTCTGAACGGTATGCTTCATTTAGGGTGTAAGTATTTAGTACCTTGGACATGTGTACATATAGATCATGCACATATTAATGAAAATAAATTGATGCAGGTTTTGATTGATTCCTTTATACCACCATACTATTAGCCATCTAATGGGATTACTGAACAAATGCTGCAAACAATTAAAATAGGGAAATTAAAATTTTGTATAATTTTTACCTTGTTTATTGCTTAATTATTGTACAATTCCTCATGCTGATAAATTAAAAAGTTTATATCTGCCTTGATGAGGCATCAAATTCATTCATTCATTCTTGACCATGTCTTATTCAACAGATAAGCAAATGTAGTATTAAAAACAAATAAATTCCACACTAGAAACTGCAAATGTTGTCATACAAGCTGGAAACAATATACCTCTTATTTCATAAGGTGATATACTGTTAAAGTAGTTCATAGATAAACATAAGGTTTAAACTCTAGAAATAATTAAGAGTGATGACTATAAAGATGTCAATTTTACTAGTGATGCCTTTAATTCTTATGAGAGTAATCAGGAACAATAGAATCAAAATCTTAGAACTACTCAATCTTCTGATTTATGAATTATCATAACAACCAAAGACAACAGCATCTGACACTTAAAACTAGTATTTTATTTACTCAAGGTATTAAACCTGTGTTCCAGGGAGATGTGAAGATATTTGAATATAAGCTAGCAGAATTATCTTTCTTGAGGGGTGCAGAAATTACAACAGTGTATGTCTATCAGCTAACTTTCTGCATGATGTTGATGAGGAAGAGGAGGAGCAACTGGTAATACTTTCTTCATAGAAACCATGTCATAATACTACCAAAACAATGCTGAAGGCAGGAAAACACTAATACATTACATTTTATAAATTATAAAAAAGATTATAAAAAAAATTGTCTCAACTACTGAAAGTAGTTTATCATAAAATGATAAATGTATTTAAATAATATCTGCATTTTTTTTCATGCTTTATAAATTGATTATAATGTTGTAGTAAACATACATATTCTCAAATATTCATATTTATAACTTTATTTTTTATCAGTTATTAATATTTAAATTTCTTATTTTGAAATTTATAGGAAAAAATTACATTTTGTAACTTTTTTTTGTTAACTGCATTTTGCATTTGTCTTTACTAAATTTTGCTTATTCTATTTTTATTCTGTGCATGAAAACTTTAAAATCCTCCCCACTTCAAGCATGTTCTAAATTGTTTGTGAATATTACTTGTAAACCAATATAATCTGTTGCATGTTACATAAAAGAAATAGATACTGTCAAGTAAACCTAAAATCTGAAAGTATGATACTAGGTTGTGGGATAATTTGATTAAAAAAATTGATAAATTTTACAAATGAAAAGTACTTATTTCAAATAAGATTTAAGCTTTTTATACTCATTTTAGAAGCAAGATATTTTATTCTAAATTTCATCAATACCTAAGACATTACTTTTTAGATATTAAAAAAATTTCATGACAAATGTTCAGAAACAAAATAGCATTATATATTGTTGCAAATTTGCCAATATTTGGTTCAGTTATAAGAACTTATAAGAAAATAAAAAAAACTTTAAGTGATTTTATTTAATTTCTAATATTTAATTTTTCCTTCACTTCCTTTGAGATACTTATCTTTTGACAAGATCAAAAACAAAGAAATTTGTAATTGTGCAAGAAAAATAATTCTAATATAAGTATTCTTAAATAAAGCAGTTAACAGCAAACTAGGTGATATACTGTTAAAGTAGTTCATAGATAAACATTTCTCTGTACATCTTTTGTGTAAACAATTCTCTTTGCACAATTAATAGTAATAAAAATAAGTTTTTTATGCATGATATCTGATCATTTTTAATTGAAGTTTGAATTTCATAATTTCAAAATTTTATCAGCTTTTTTACTTCTGAATGTATGCATAGATCTAAAGTCTTTGCATTTTAAAGTATGTGATTTTAAACATGTTAGATCTGAAGTTTTACTGTTTACCTTTTAATATGCATCTTGCTAAATTTCCTGGCTTTTCTACTTTCTCTTGCATTATTTGCTCTCTAGTATGTTTGGTATGTGTTATGTTGCCAGTTTCATCACTAACCTCAGCCTGTGCTTATTTTCTTCCCATTTCTTAAACAGTGGGATGATTTAAATTTGTCTGATAAAAAGAAATCTCGCCGTGCCATTGGCTCCCGATTTAACAAACTGAAGGAGAGGGGAAGTTCAGCATCTAGTCCCCAGCATAATAGGAGTTATGTAAGTGTCTCTGTGCTGCTTTCCTTCTCATCACTTTCCTTTTTACCTGCACTTTCATGCTCTTTCCTATTTTCTAATTATATTTTTACCTTATATAAAAATACATATTTTACTATTTTAGGTTTATATTAGTTTTATAATTATCTCTTGTATTCTTTTTCTTGTAAGAGCCAACATCACATTGTGCTCAACTAAGAATTATTTTATTGTATATCAATCTTCATTACTTTTCTTAAACCATTCAGTGGCCAGGACATTAGTTAACATTTTCACTATTTTACCTGTTAAGCTCCAAATGATATTAATTATATCCTGTCCTTTTTAAAATTTGCTTTGTCTTCATTTTGTCACTTTGTACTGTGACTAATATCAGCTTTCCAGCAATGCTGTTTAGGCTCTGAGGAATCTCCATCATTCTATTTTTGGTTTACACATATTGGTGAAAGAAAATGTTAACACTGAAGGTGTCAATATCCATCAGAGACTTAACCTAATTTAAACATTTGTTTGTTTGTTTTTTTCTTTTAAAAGTTGGTATTGATAAAGTAAACCTGACTTCAAAATCCAGAACTTGGTTTTTAAATTTAAGATTTTTCTTAAAAGGAAATTTGGTTTCTATAGACATTAAAATATTTAGAATATTTTTTTGTGCTCAGAAATGATTTTGTATCTGATATTATAGGCATTTAAATTTTATGCAGCTCTTCATTAGTTTTGATTCCTGAGTCGCTGCTTCTACAGTTTTGCTTATAAGATTTTGTTTTAACTTTACAGTTGTTTGCACTTAGCATGATCCATTTCAAGCTTATGCATTAAGATATTTAGAAACAGACAAAAATATTCATTTTTATATCAAGTTCCAATAAAAAATATTTATTATCTTGATTAAAACAATGACTATCTTAGTTTTTTATTAAATATTTTTCTCTTATACAAACATCTTAAAGAAGTTATTCTGATTTGAACAAGAGAAAGCAAAGTTAAAACCTGATGTAAAAAATTCTGGTTCTATTTCTATCTATTTATAATATACATATGTTTATCATAAAATGTTAGTATTTTGTTAATTCTTACAAATAGAAAGAACACTATAAAATATAAATGTAAAAGAAAATTCAATATAGATTTTATCCTATAATATCACTGCATTGTATAATTTCATTTTACTTACTGAATGCAAATTTTTTTTTTTTTCTGTCTTAATTTCTGGGATGTGACGTTATCATTATTTACAGTTTATGTCTTTGCCGTTACTAACAAAATGTTGTACCTTCTGGTCTTTAATCTATCAGTTAAATTGTTCTCATTCTGTTGTGCATATCTAGAAAATTAAAGTTAGTGAATTTGGTGGCATATTAATTGTGAGTTCAATCCCTGAACTGGGTAGTACAGATATACTCAGACTTAGTGGAAATGGAACTATCAATAACTGAACAGTACTAAAGGACAATTAACCAAGATGAGATATCCCTAAATATAAACAGCAGGGTGAGAACAGCTTATTTCCATATTTTAAATAAATGGTTCATTTCAAAATTTCCTTTTTTAAAGAAAATGAGGATATTAATACCACTATTGGATAATCTACATTACCACAGAAAGAGTTGAGATAAGGATCCAACTTTATCATACCAAATTATAGTCATCTGACATTAAAGTATCTCCATGAATGAACTCTCCAGTGAGTTATTATCCAAAGCTGCTACTTTGTTTAGAATTTTTAGTTTAATTTAGCAGCTGAAAAATAGATCAACTGAAAATCACTATTGAAAAAATTAATAAAAAATATAGGCAATAGAAAATAGTTTGTATCAATATAATGCATTAATTTTGAATTTTTTATAATTTATATCTATATTTTTTTAATAAAAATTTCCCAAAATAGTTTTTGAGTATTGTTATATATAAATTAAAGTATGCCACATAAAATAAGCAATGTTTTCTATAATATTTTTCTTGATTAAAAAATTTATGCATTCTAAATTACCTTTTGTTTTTGGAAATTTCATCTTATTAAAACAATATTATACATTTATTTACAATGTATTTAATATCTTGTACTAATCCAGTGCTTTTATGACAAAATAATTTTTTCCAATGAAATTTAGAATATCCTTCCCTTAAATTTACCACCGCTTACCTTATTTGACATAATGTTGAATTCTCTAAGGATGGAAAAATATGACATGTTTTCTGTGAATTAATTTTGCAGACTTTAAGCATTATTTGTCCATATTCAAGTAAAATACCCTAATAAATGTTTTAATAAGAAAAAGGGGTCAGTAATGTATTTTCAGTTTTGTTTGGTTACTGCTGTTTTCCTTTTTACGTTTGTTTTGTAAAACATTTTCAGTTCAACATGCATAAGGATTGATTGTAAAAATTAGGTTTTTTATTTACCATTCTCAATGTTGTTTCCCTTTTAGGGAAATAGTATTTTAAAAAAATATAATGGAAAACAATATTTTGGAATATTTTTTTTACAGAGGAAAGGTTCATACATTTTGCCTTAGTGTTTATAATTGAAAATATTTTCAAAATTTTCATTTTTCTGTAGCTTATTTCTGTTTCTTGAATTCATACTATTCATCCTGATTTATTTTACACTGTCATAGAATATCACTATTTACAGTTTTAAAGTGATTTTATTAATACTAAATAAAAAATATATAGGCATTAGTTTGATGCAGAAGTTTCTAACATATTTTTTTCTGTTGTTTTTGACAAAATTTTTATTCATATAAATTTCAAACATCATTATTCAGTTATCAAAATAGTTTCCCTGATGATCTGTGATCACTTTTCAGGTAAATTGTGAAAAAATGATAGTTCTGATTTGATGAATTTAAAGAATTTTTCAATATGTTGAAATGATTGAAATCACTGAGAAGACCAAGAGTGTTTCATAAAGAGAAATAATTGATAGTCTGAAGGTGACAGATCTGGAATATATGCTATCCCAGCTCTATGAATGGTTACTACATCATGTTTACAAAATGAAAACAGGTGTTGATGTGGAGCAACATCACTCATTAACTTTATATCATTTCACTCCAAGCAAAGCAATAATACTAAAATGCAACAGGTTACTGAGTGTGAAAGACTCTGAGAAAAGGAAAAACATTAAGGGGGAGAGAACTGGAAGAAGACAAAAGATAACAATTCATATTGCATTTAAATTATTGAAGATTAGTTGATTGAAAATCAAGAAGTCAAAAGAGTGTTCCACAAATAAGTGCAAGAAAAGAAACCGTTTGCATAGAATTACACTTACAACTAGCAATTTCAACTGTAAAATGAGACCCAGCTACCAACCTAGTACTGTACTAGTATTCATGAAGTCAAGGTACCAAAGAGTAAAGCTCATCAGTATAAATTACCATGAAAATATTTATAGAAAAGCACAAGGATGCTATGTTATGGCAGTAGGAAGGTGACTGAAGCCAAGATGCCAGGTTAGGACTGATAACATTGCAGGCTCTTTGAATTTTATCAAGAATCTCTAAATACAAAGCAGAAGCACCAAACCAGATGAATGGTTGACTTATAAATGTGTAAAATAAAATCTAGTTAAGAAAATTGTCTAGCACGAACTGTGAACTAACTTTCCTAGCAGCAAACCTAGCAATTTGATATAATCTTTCCACTTGTCAGTGGAAAACATTAGTCTGAGAAGGTACAATGAGTTACTTTTGTGAGGTTAGCATGAGTCTGTGCTACACCATTCTCATCTAAAGCTTCAACAATAACTGATAATGCATCAGAAGTTGACCTAGAGAAGTGAAACCACAGAAGGTTAAAAATTTAATTCCTTGGGAGAAAATCACAAAATGAATCCTGATGCTGGTAATAGAAAGAAGTGTTGTGAATAGGAAGTTCATGTCTAATAGATGAGTCAAAAGAAATATCAACAGATATGGCAGTGTGATCCAAAAGGACGGAGTTGCAATGCTTGACAAGAGCTAGGAGAAGTAAGGAACAAATCAAGTAAAGAAACATTATTATGGAAACAAATAGGGAAATCTACTGCTTAACTGAGAAATGGAAAAACTGAAAGTTTGAATTACCAACAACATGCTGAGCATTAAAATCACCAAACACAAAGAAGTTTACAGATTAATGTAGAGAGAGAGAGAGGGCCATTTCTATACTGTCAGATATTTTGTCTAATATTTTACAGTCCTGAGAAGGAAAACCGCTAACAGAGTGAAATAAAGAAAGCTGAAAGCACAGGAAAAAATCATCCAGGGGCTAGAGACAATTCCCTTGCCATTGGGAAGACTTTCCTGGATGTAAACACCAAGACCATGTATATCTGTCCTAGAATCTTTTTGACAAAAATGAAAATAGCCTAGAACAGAGAATTTATTGGTAGCAATAAAAGAGTTTAAATTAGTTTTGCAAAATACTAAGACATCTGGAGAATGTTTCAAGAGAAAAGATTCTACAATGCAGAAATTGATACAAATACCACAAATATTGGAGAAAAATGTTGAGTTGGGGTGCAGATAGGTGAATTTTGTTTATTGGTTTACTCGTAGTTCTCTTAATTGTAACTGTCATGAGATTATTTTAAGTTTTAAGGAGAAAAAGGCCAAAATAATTATCACTGCTCATCGTCTATGGCAATACAAACTGGCAGGAAGGTGGTTAAAACTAAAATGTAATGTCCTCTGGGTTGTCCACTGGAAGTACATACAGGGATACTTGTCCATGTGTGACATGGCACTACAAATACCCTGATATTATCAAAAAAGGTCTTTTTGATTTTTTTAGTCATTCCACCATGGCTGTATTAATGATAAAGAATTCCTTTTGAATCCCAATAAATTATGTTTAGGTTGATGTTGAAAACTGTTTTGGATTTCAGCATGATTTTTTTAATTTTGGATTCTTGTAATAAGTCCAGTTTTCATTGCCAGTGACCATTACATCCCAAAATATTTATTTTGTCTATCAAACAAGTAGCTGAAGAACTGATTTTTACTTCTGAAATTGCT